TTGCTGGATTGACTTTTCATGTATTCCTCTTTTAAAAATATCTTTCTTTTCCTGGTCATTAGGTGCAATCTTGTCATCTAGATCTGATATTTTATCCTCTTCTTCATTCAATCTGTTGTATACAGTTTCAATGAAGTTTTTAATTTTCTGGATTTCTGTTTGGAACTGTTTCATGGATTCCATTTTTTCCCTATGATGGGAATTCATGGTTTTTGTTGTTTTCATGAGATCTTTTATTTTTAAAATTTCTATCTGCTATAGTTTTTTTCATTTTGATCATTCATCATTTATTTTTTCACCTTAGAGATTATTTTTATAGTCTTTTCTTTTTTGCTCTTCACTTCTTTTTTTATCATTTCAGTAAGTTTCAGTGGTTGGCTTCCAATTTACTCTATTTCATTGTGCTCTAGATTTGTCCTGGGTAGGCCAGGTGTTTGTGGTTGCATTTTACTTCTGTGTCTTGTCATTTTCTCTTTTTTATGTATTTGGTCCAGGGTTTCACTATGCAGCTCAGATTCCAGTACTTTGGTACTATGCTGATCGTTACCACCCCAGACAACCACAGTGTTGCCACACAGGAGAGAAAACAGAGTACAACAGGCATACCTTCTTAGCTAAATTAGTACAGATAGCAATAATAATAGTCTTGAGCATAGTCTGGCTACTAACAAACTGTGATAACTATTAACCTGATATCCTTAACCATGGGAGAAAAATTCTACTGTTATATAACAGAGTACAACATATAGTGGGAATTTGTATGTAATAATTTGTCCCTTAGTGGAGTGATTTTACTCTGTTGTGGGGTTAGGGAAGTATTTAAGGGTAGAAGACATGCTAGAAAGATGAATAAAGAAGAAAGATGATCCTTTGTAGGATCAAAGCTGGAGAGCAAAGAATGATGATTCAAGTTTTGGGAAACTAGAGTACACAGGTTGGAAAGAATTAAAGAGAAAGCAAAGGAGTTTTGAAGTGAAGCAGAAAGAGAAGAGACAATGTTGACTCACATGAATGTGTCATAAAAAAGTGAGATAATTGACGAAAGAAGCAAGATGAGTAAAATAAAAATGAAAGGTAATAAACTAAGTCATGAAAGGAGAAAGAAAACAGAGAACAAACCAAAAACTAAAACTAAGCATAAAAAACCCAAAACCAAATCAAAAACAGAAACATCCCAAATGCACAGAAAAAGGAAAACCAATCAAATAAAGAAAAAAAAATAATAAAAGTAGTAAATTTCCTCTCATGTCTGCAGTTCAGCGGTTTGTCCAAGTTGGATTCCAGTAATGTGTTTTGTACTCCAGACAAATTTGCTGTGGGATTTGTGCTGGATTTGGGGCCAATCTTGGCTTCTGGAGGTGGAAGGTGGGCTTGGTCTTCTGTTTCTGGCATTCTGCCTGAGCCCTTAGATTAAAAAATAATAAATAAATAAATAAATAAATAATTGCACCCCTACCTGCAACATGTCTGTGTGCAAAGCATAAGCTGGGATACCTAATTTACCAGCAGCTGGTTTGCATTCTTACTGTTGCTCTGGACTTTTCCATGCTACTGGTCCTGTCTGCCCATTGTATGTGCCCCTGCTGGAGCCCTGATACTGATGTTCTCCAGGATTATCTGGCGTCTGTACCCCAGCCAGGCTTTCCTAGTTACTTGTGTTTTTATCAGACTGCTAGATGATTCTGGCAGTATATGCGCACTGGTCTCATCTGTCACTGAAAAATGTCCATGTCTTGTCCAGCAGCACTGAACTTTTGAAGAAACATAAACTCAGTTACTTCTTTCCTTCTCTAAGAGCAGTGATCCCAAAGAAGATTACACACACAAAGTACCTGGTATGGGACCCCACACTTACTAGGTGTTATCCGGGGGTAAGGTTAGGGCAGGGATAATTACTCCAACATCTATATTGGAGGAGAGCATCTTTGGAGGCAGCTGGGCTTATCAGGGGGGAAAACCAGGGCACAGAGGTCAGGAAGGTGAGGTAGCTGCTGATGTCACAATTCCCCCATTTATGCAGGATACATGGCTCTTGAACCTCCTCAAGGAACAGCAAGAGGATGGTGGCTGCATAAAAGAGGACCAAGGGGGACATGAGGTTGAGGGCTCTGGGGACAACTGAAGAATAGAGGTAAACACCATGCAGCAGAGCAAGCTTGATAGCCAAAGACGGGTGAGGAGTCACAGAAATCTCACAGGTAACAGCCTGGGTGGTGCCTTTCTCATATCAGTGTCCCCAGGGAGAGACTTTCAAGGAGAATATAGAGAGATACATACCCAACTCTGAGGAGACCTGCCCTTCCAAAGATACTCCTGTTCACTTGTTAAGAACTCCCAAGTCCTCAGCACTCTTTAGCTTCTGTGATTCCCAATCCTGATCACCATGTAAACTTGGTAAAACATACTGATGTTCAGGCCCTATCCCAACCCCAGAATTCTGCTTTACTCTACTGAGGGACTGGGGTTTGGATACATATGTATGAAAATGTTGAAGTGATTTTACTGTTTAGTCAGCATTCACAGCTCTAAAGAAATCCAAACAAAAACTCACAAAAACATACACATGTGTTTTCCCCAGAGGCGTGGAGACAAAGCACTTGTATTTTGATGTCTCCTTCCCTTTCCCGCAGATGCATGACCAAATCTGATAGAGCTCAGGACCAAAAGTACACTCAGCTAGGACTGGTACACACCTTTATTATTAAGAACCTATGGAGGATGGGATGTACCTCATCAGCTTAAACCCTGCCTGGCAAGCGCAAGGTCCTGATTCAATCCCCAGTACTGCAAAACAAAACAAAACAAAACACAAAACAAAACAAAGACCCTATGGAGGAAGATAATCAAGAGCCACACAAAAAAGAGATTCTTTTCTGAAGTAATAATTAATACTACATTACTTATTTAAAAATAATTTAGAATAGGGAAAAAGATATAGATAAACTTTTTAAAATAGGAAGAGAGCTTATAATCAATGAAGGCAACTTAGTATGGATTGAGATGTGAAAAAGAGGGAAACCACAAAGAGGATGGATTAGGAGGAGGCTGTGTCCTCTTTCCAGGGCTTGGTGATGGCTGACACAGTACCTAGGCACCTGCGGCAAGCAGTGTTTCTGGGGGCTGGGTGTCTCAGAGCCCCTGGAGCCATGCTGTCCATGATGGTAGCTTCTACACTGTACTTGCTTCAGCGTGAAAGAAGCAGGAGTTATCTGTTAAGATCGAGGGGAGCCAGAGTACCTGGGAGCCAACTCAGGTGCTGCTACTTGCCTGGGAAGATGTTCACTAGCTGTCTGGGTTCAGAAAGCAGGTTCTGGGCACTAACTTCTGGATCCTAAGGTCACAGACTGCTTTCATGCATCCTCACAAGCAAGTATCTTTCTCCTTCCCTAACTGTGGATGATGCCCTTTCAGGGAAGTCTTCTAAATGCTCAGTGTAAGACTCATGTAGGGCAGGGAGTGGGCTTTTTTCTCAATTGCAGAACCTTCAGGCAGGGTGTGATCTGGATCCCCTTCCTACAGGTGTAGCAATTCTATGTTTCTGCTCCTGGCTGCCACTGGTAGGGGTCTGGAGGCCTCATGTGGAGCACTGTGAGCTGGCCTCACAATGGGTGGCCCTGGAGTTTTGTATTGGTGAGCCTTTTTTCACTGGGAGCAAATACCTGACCAAAACAACTTAGAGGTGAAAAAATTTATTTTGATGCTCAGTTTCAGAGTGTTCAGTCCATAGTTTGCTGGCTCTAAAGCAGAAGCACTATGGTGGAAGGGAAAGGTAGGAGAAAGAAAGCTGCTTAGCCTATGGCAGCCAAGAAGCGGAGCCCAGGGTAGAGAGCCAGCAGGAGACAACACCCTCTGGAGGCAACCTCTTCAGTGACACAGCTCCTCCCACCGGGCCCTGCCTCCTACTCAGCTGTGAGCATCAGTGGATTAACCACCTGGTTGAGCACATGTCCCCATGATCCAGTCACCTCTCCAGGAGTTTAAGGGTTCCCTCCTTACCTTTTCTAGGCAGAATGAGAGCACTTTGAAAGCCACATGGGAATGGGTTACTGCATGTGTGTGTGTGTGTGTGTGTGTGTGTGTGTGTGTGTGTGTGTTGCTCTGTGTTGTTTCCATGTATTGTGTGTGTGGTTATCTGTGTATGTGTACGGGAGTCTCTGTGTGCATGTGTGTGGGTGTGTGTATATTTCTATGACTGTCTATATATCTGTGTGTATCTACACGTCTGTATATGTCTGTATTTGTGGATCTGCGTGTCTGTCATGGTATTTCTGTGACTATTTGTGTCCTCCTGCACTCTCTGAGGTCCCTAATGGCTGTGCCTTCTGCCTGCATGCTCCCTGTTGGGCCCTCTGGCCCCCAGCTGTGAACAGGCCATGAGGAATGATGCAAGGCCACAGGGCCTTAGGGAGCTAGGAAAGGACAGCAGATGGTACTGCCATTCCCTGAGGGATTTTGACAGGGAAAAGGAGGAAAATAGAAGTAAGGGAAGCTTGGGGTCAAGGGAAGAATGTTCTAGAAGGACGACTTGAGAATTTTGGAAATAGAAAGGAGGATGGGTGCTATGGAGGGGGACATTTGGGAAGTGTTGGTAAGGAGGGCAGAGGGAGGGGTCTAGGAGAGTGTGAGGAGCTGTAGCTGAGGGCCCAGAGAAAGGGTACAAAAAATGTATGCTGGTGACCACTGCTCCCCAGGACCTATCTCCTTACTAGCTTGCTAATATCTAAGCCTCCAGTGCTGTCACTCAACAATCAGCTCCAAGCAGCATAGGAAATGGACAAAATACCTAGTTTAGAAAAGTCCTACAGAGAAGTTGATATTATGGCTCGTGTATACACTCACATCCATTTTTCATTTGCCTTGGGCCAGGGACCAGCTTACGACAGGGACCTGTCTCTGCCTTTGACTGGCTCAGGATCCCTTTGGGTCGTAGATGCATCAGCCTCTTAAATGTGAAAGTTTGTCTGCCCAGCAGTCTTCGGTCCTTCCCAGCCCATCCCTACCCCATCTGCATCCTTATCCCCAAGCTGTGGACTCTTCACCAGAAAAAAATGAGACCAGGAGAGGTCAGTTAAATTACCAAAGGTCATGCAACTGGTCAGTGCTAGGCCCAAGTGTTCAGATTCTAAGCTTCTGTGCCATATCGCCTTATGTCTTTGCTTCCTGGTCCCTGTACACAGTCCAGCCTCTAACTTTACTGTATGACCTCCAAATATGGCTTTGTCTAAGCCTCTTCTGTCTGCTGGACTTGTACCTTAGCGGACTCAAAATTCAGCCAGTTTTTGAATCTCAGCTCAAACTTTTCCAACAGCTACTGGCCACTGGTTAAACCTTAGACCTCTAAACCTTCAGAGGCTTCCCCAGTCCCATTTGTCCTCATGCCACCCATACGTCCTCGACACAGAACAGGCAAGCAGGAAGCTAGACACAGGAGAGGTGCGGAGAAGGAAATATTTCAAATCTGAGAGGCCAACATAGCATCTGGTGGCCCCGGTAAAGGGCATGCTGGGGAATCCCCTGCAGAGATGCCGCTGGAGGGCAAGAGTCACATCCCTGGCTGACAGAGGGTGGCGCTGTGTGGAGCATGCCTGGAAGTCAAGGAGAAAGGAGAAAGCCCTGGCCAAGTTTCAGCAAGCGCCTGGTTGAAACCAGACACCAAGAATGTGTAACAAGTCAGGCCTGCTGCCTGGGAAATATTTACCCTACTTTAATTTTCAACTTTTATTGCTTGTTTCTCAAGTAAATGTTTATTTTACCTTTGTAATTCTTCAGGATTTTTAGAAACTTGGGAAAGAATGATCTTGTTTTGGTTTTAGATACTTTGGGCTTTAGAGATATGAGTAAGCTTGCTAATTACAGCCTATAAGACAGTGGCTGGTGGCCAGGTTGATTTCCTTCGGTAGGTGCAGGCTGCCCTGTGGGATATCTTCAGTCTTTGTAATCACATAAAGACCACCCTCCCCCTCCTTGTTTTTTAGTTTTTCTGCATACCTGATTCCCTTCTCCCATTCCTCCCTCTAGGGCTCAAGACTGACACAAAAGTGAATCAGCCACCCAAACTCACATTCACACCCACACCCCCTACCCACGTTGGTAGCAAGCATTACAATTATGCTGTCTTAGAGTACCTGGATCCTGGGTGACATCTAGCAATTCTAGAATATCTTCTATTTCCCTCAGTTTAGCAATTTTTGTTCTATTCCTGTCCACTGCTTCCCACTCCCTTCCATTATGCTGCTATCCTTGTACCTTCAAAGAAAAAATTATTTTGAAAATTTTTGAAAGTTTGAAATATACACAAAGTTTTCAAAGCAAAGACATACAACTTACATCTTTAAGCTTGTTCACAAGCACTCATTGGGTAGCATCTAACCACATCGAAAACTAGGAAACCACCAGCCCCTGGAAGTGACCCTGGTTCCCCTTCCATCTAAACTCCCCATTCTGAGTGTCAGAGATAACTACAATCACCCCTCAGTATTTTTGAAGTTTTGGCTCCAGAATCCCTATGAATATCAAAATCTGTGGAAGCACAAGATCTTTACATAAGCCCACGCCTATCTTTCTGCATTTCTTAAGTTATCTTTAGGTTAGTATAATACCTACTACAATGTAGATATGATGTTCATAGTTTATAAGGAATGATGAAACAAAAGTTTGCATATTCAGTATAGACACATTTTTTTGGGGGGGGGGATTGGTGATTCTACTGTATACATGCTGCAGTGGGTTATTTGTATCATTGAAAGCTCTAAAAGGTGGACATCACTGCTCTAGGTAGATATTTGAGTTATTTCTGATATTATGTTATTTAAAAAGGTGCAGTTACAAACATTCTTGACCTTCATTTTTCATGTTGCACATGTCTAAACCTAGGAGTGGAATTGCCAAAGGCTAAGCATATATTTGTCTTTAGTAGATGATGTCAAACTGTTTTATATTTTATTTTTGTATTTAGCATAGTGTCTAGAGAGTCTACAGGGTCTCACTACACAGATCAGACTCGTAGCGGTACTCCTGGTTTCAGCCTACCAAGTATTGGGATTACAGTGTGCCCCATCATGCTCAGCCTCATTCTTCATCTCAGCATGCCCTGGAGACAGGACCAGTCCAGTACGCCTGGGATTGAACCCCAGTCATTGTGCCTGCCTGAGCAGGTGCTTTAGTCAGCTGAGCTATCTGGCTGTCCCTAACCTGTTTT